GAAGGCTTGCCTCTGTGCTCCACTTAGGGTTGACAGTGTTGCAGACCACTCCGGAGCGTTTCTCCTGGCCGTGGTGTGGCAGAGACGGGAAGATGCTGTGCTTTCCGGGCTGAATGGACAGCTTCAGGTATGGGTCTGGATTGAAGAACATCCCCTTTTTCAGTCCCACTGCCTGGAGGTCTGAAGATTCACACACACAGTTTTGTAAAATTGGGAAGACACACACGCGTCTGGTTTCTATTAGTCTGTGATTCAGATGTTCATTTAGTCAAAGCTACAGTTTGTTTAGACGAAGTATTTTTAGAGGTAATACGTTTAGAAAAATTCTCACCAGACAAAACCAAAGATATACAAACTCTGAATAAAGGGATCATTTGCAGTTTCTGAACCCTGCTGTGCTCCTGGAAACACTCACAGCTTTAGCCCACCCTTACTGATCTACACGTCAGCACAATTACATCACAGCAGTCCACAGTGAGCATAAAACACATTGTTTAAAAATATTCTAAGAATTAAAAATCAGCACAAATGGACAGCTGGGAGACTTCCCCTCTATAGCACAAATAAAGGTTTTACTCTGGACAGAAAAACTAAAACAGGAGGCTGCCCAGTCTGGTCTTAAACTACAAAGGGGGGAAAAACATGAATTACATAACCACAGAAAGGAGTGACGTCTGAGTTACCCCAAATTAAAATAACATCAAATAGGCAGCAGAGAAATCACTACAAGTCCAGACTGCCTTGATACGAGACCATTAACACATCAACGTAAGGTCACGTGCTCACCTGGGGGTTTGCACAGATTCACAAATGTAACCGTGGTGGAAAACTGGCATATCTGGGCTTTCTCTGTGTTCCATTTTTTTCCTTCTAATAAAACAGACATTCCAGTTACAGACGCTGCACACAGCCTTTGAAGGTAATATATGATTTACATAACCTGGATGTTCCCCTGCAGAGAAAAATCAGGCAGTGCTCAGCTGCAGATGGAGAGCACAGAGACATGCTGTGGCTCATCCTCTGAAGTCAGTATAAGATAATAGTAATATAGATATAATCTAGATAATGTGGAAGAACACTTTGAAGCTAATCTCACCATTTTCTAATAACAACAGGCTAACATTCATGTTAGCTTAGTGATTAATCCTGAACACCAAGTAAACAGCTTTCTGCTCTCGGCCAACTTCAGCTTGCAGAAATCCTGGAGATGATGTTTAGAAACATCAGGTCTAAAACAAGTGTGGGAGTATTGAGGACCTAAAGGCAAACGAGTGCAGTGAAAATGCAGCTTTTATTAGGCTGATGCAGTGTCCAATGATTCCAGTTCAAATCATCCTAGAAACTCGTGCTGAAAGGACGTCACATAGTGTGCTGAGCACTGCAACAGCGACACAGACAGACTTCCTACGACTGTCTTATTGACATCTTTTAATGATTTAATGCATCATTTCAAGTACTTTGAGTTGCCTTTCTGGAAAATACTGAAATACTGTACTGGCTGCAGTGGCTGAAGACTGAAGTAATGCATCCGTTGTACACTGCAGCATGACTGTCACTTACTGTTAGAAATTGTAAAACTTTTGTTTACAGAGAATAATGGAAAATATGGAACAGGCTGTACTTATGTTTCACATTCACAACATCCTGTGACCCTTGGAAATACTGTGACAGAGCGGAAAACACTTTCTTCACTACATACAAATACATGACAGCAAATATACGGTAGTGTAGGGATGGGTATCGTTTAGGTTTTATCCGATACCGGTGCCAAACCGGTACTTTTGAAACGGTGCCGGTGCTTAAACGGTGCTCAAACCGGTGCTTAAAGAATGAAGAACACAAAATTGGTCCAAAAACCTCTCATGTTTAACTGTTTTTTTGTAAAAAGGTAACTATGTTAGCCTTTTCTGCAGCTATGGGGCATATATGGTATCACTCTTGGCTGGAAGCAGCTTAAACAATGGAAAAAACACAAACTTTGTCCACAAACCTCTCATGTTTAACTGTTTTCCACTTTTTCTTTGGTCATTTTAGCCTTTTTGTCCAGGGTGAAGGGAGTATCTGCCATCAAACAAGAAGACAGCCGCATGTAGCTACAACGGTGTTTGCTAGTTCACCTTACATGCATTAATGTAATAACGTGGTTAGCCTACTCAACGTAAATTACACACGAACAACATTAAGCTACTCACGCAGAGAAGAACGGCTGCTGCTGCATCATCATCCTCATCATTTCTGCTACACTGGCAGGGCTAGGGGCCAGGACTCTCCTCTTCGGGTTTTTGGGGGATGTTGCTAACTCCGGGTCGATAACAGGCACCACACCCGCAGTAGATGTGCTCGGTGTGAGGTCTCGCAGCAAGCTATCAAATACGGCGCATTTCTCGGGTTTTAAAAAAACGCTATACGTCGCCAGGTGTTTCATCGGATTCGAGGTGTTACCTCCTTTGACAGTATCACAGTATCAGCTTAAAGCACTTGTTGTAGTTCTGCTCTAAAAGAACGTATGTACCTGGACCCGCCTACTATCCTCGGAAATGTAAAATGATTGGCTAGAATCTAAAGTGTAGCACAGCTCAGGAAAAAAAAAGCACCGAAATGTGCTTTTCGGTCTGGTTACTACCGTTTATGTCAGAACCGATACCAGTACCCATCCCTACGATAGTGTGTGCAAAACACAAAAGCAGTGTCTTTATAATGTGATGCAATACAACCTGTGAACGAGTAAGTGTGATTAAATCACCCACACGCAAACACTCTTTTTATAAAATAGATATTTTGTTATGTTTTACAGAGACTGAGAGCCTGAATGAAGCACAGTTAAAGGTTTACAGTGGTACGAACCCCTGAGCCTCCATAAAAACATTGTTCCTAACGTACTGCACGAGCCTCTGTCAGAACTGTCACAAGAACATAATGGTGTTAGCTGAGAAAGCTGTTAACTTGGTGATGAACTCTGATGTCAAAATGCTTCGGATTAACATAACGAGTTATTCCAAACTGCCTGGATTATATCGATATTACTTTGCATGTACTCACTCCAGAGATGAGCCACAGGGATGTGTAACCATGCTGTTCTCTCTCTGCAGCTGAGCTCTGGCTGACTTTTCCCAGCAAAACCTTCAGCGTGTAGCAGCAGCTTATTTAAACCGTCTATTAACCTTCATAGGCAACTGTGGAGCTAAAACTGTTTTCTCATGACGAGCTGTTCTGTGTATCTTCTGTTTTGACGAACGGCACAGGAATGCAGAGGAAGCCCAGAATTTTTACTATATATTCTAGTTTGGATGTACACATTTGTAAAGTTACACACAAGTCACTGTACTGTAGCTGAAGTGAAGCAGCCTACCTGACAGGTTAAAGTTAATAAGTCTTCTGTTGCCCAATCCATGGTTGACTTCAGGACTGACCACTGGCTTCAGTATCTGGACGCACACACACAGATGTGAAGAGTTAATAGGTGTTCGTAAACAAAAAGAACACGGTCAGAGAAACGTAATGATGCATGCGCGTTTAGGCCTGCTTCATTTCAACAGTGTTTGCTAAAGCTCCACTGTCAGTGAGGCCGACAGCGTGCTCAGATCAATACTCTGTCCTCATAGTCCTGGAAATGGAGGGGAGTGTAAAGACTCCCATCGTTCATCTGCTTTAACATATAGCACCCATGTTTGACTTCCCTTACATACCAAAGCAATAGGAAAAGGATTGTAAGGATATCCAAGCTGTTTCCTACCAAATTATTAAAGTCAAAAAGCTTATGTTAAATAAGTTTTGTTTTTTTGAGGACAGAAATGAAGACGGATTTACTACGTTTAGAGCATGTGGTTAAGAAAATGTTGAATTAATTTACAAAATATCTGTATATCACAAGCACTTGATGCTACAACAGCTGAGAAATGACAAGAGCTAACAGCCGAGCAGCTGAGTGTGGCTGTAGATGGTAGTTCTAACCTCAGTCCTGATCAGTGCAAAAGTCTTGAGCCACCTCTCACTTCTTTATACACATGCCCTCAAGTTCTTTCAGTGTTTTCTTTTCTTTATCGCACTTTGAGACAGATAACAGTTTCAAATAAACAACCAGTAGTTTGAGGAGGCATCCTCGGTGGTTGGGCAAACAGATAATTCTTCATTGTATAGTGTAGTATGATGTGACCCAGTCTTGTTGCAGTAAACAAAAGCTGATCAATTAGTTAGTCTGTGGAAACAAAATAATTATTGATGCTTATGGATTCAAAGGAAAAAGAATTTAGTAGCGCTGCCAAGTTTAAAGCATTAGTCAGGAGGCAGCA